CTGTACAGTGTCACAGAGCTGTTCTCTAGAGTCTGACAGAGCTTTTCTCCAGATCTTAGCAGTTGGTGTGATTTTAGACATCTGATCTTTGCTTGGGTAACATTAATTTTCACTTTCACCAACAAATTATTTTATTCAAATTCAACACTCCTCAGATGCATCACAACCATACAGGGATTTCATTTTTTGCTCATTACCATGTTGTGTTTAACCAAAAGTTTAATTCAGTTATCTGGTTCTCTGAAAGGATATTTCATTACATGGGTCAGGTATTTTACTGATACACAGCAGGATTTTTTTTGAGTACAACACTCCTGAGGCACACACCCAGTACTTCTTCATGGTGCTGCTAAATGATTCCCTTTGTTATTGCTCCAGCATGCACTGGCAGTCAGAGATTGTGTTAATTTTCCATTTATAGGTCGTATCTTCTAAAAACACTCAAGATCTACAAGGATTGCTAAATTCCCAAAAAGCACAGGATTTTTAGTGGAAAAGCTGCAGTTACTACAGTTCCTGGAAGTGGGATTTCCAGGCTGTCCCATCCCTGCAGGCAGTGCCCAGCACTGGGCAGCGCTGGGAGCTCAGCCATGGACACACTATTGGAACTGCAGGTGAGCCCAGTGGGGAGAAATGCTGGTGTCTGACTCAGTTCAGAAGGGTGAACGATTTCTTTATGATAACTATGCTAAAATACATTAATATACTATTTAAAGGATATACTAAAGCTACAAACCTACTTTTTCTAACTACCATATCTAATTCACAAGTTGTGGCTGTCTGTGAGAGCCCAGCCCCAGGTGGGTGGGATTGGCCACCAGGCTCAAACAATCCTCACCAGAATCCAACCCAGCAATCACCCCAGGTAAACAATTCTCCAAACACATTCCACATGGGAAAAACAAGGAGCAGAAATAGAAATAGTTTTCTCTTTCCTCAGTGCTCCTCTATGAAAATCCTGAGGGAGAGGAGAACGTCCTGCCCCAGCCGCGCAGCAGCTCCCGGGGCAGAGCAGGGCAGGGGTGCCCTGCCAGGCTGTGCCCAGTGCCAGGGGCTGCCACTCACCCCAGCTTCCTGCTCTGCACGGTGCTGAAGCCGGTGAAGGAGCAGCTCCTGCTGATGCCACCCCCGTCCCCGGGGGACACGAAGGTGAGCTTGACCGACATGGCTCCTGCTCAGCGACCCTGCTGGCTCCTGCACAAAACACAAAACACAAAACCAGATGAGGCCACGGCTCCTCGGCGTCCTCGGGCTGCTGCGAGTGCTGAGCTGCAGGGAAGAGGAAAGTCAAAACAACGCACGGCAGAATAAATTGGGAAAAAGGACTTGTCTGCAATTCACGTTTCCTGTGTTGCCATCCACGCTGCAATTAATAAAGGATTGAGTAGTCTAAAATGAAATCTCTCATGCCCTCTTCAATTTCTGATTGATTTTACAAACTCACTACGCAAAAGCCAGAATAGCCTCAACTCAGAGGCTCTCTACATTTCTGACTTTTAAAAAACCCCGTAATTGTCCCAGCGCTTCAGGAGTGGGGGCCAGCCTGTGCATTTCCAGAGCAGGGTGGATGCCAGAACAATACTTAAGCTCCAGACTCAGCTGGGTCCCAAAAGCAGCTCCTTGCATGAGTGCAGAGCCACACTGCAGCCAGTGGTAGGCTTGGCTGTGTGGTGCTCAAGGCAGAAGTCTGGTTTCAGCAGTAAATTTCAGGTTCATGCTCCTCCTCTGGCAGGGTTTCTCTTGGATTGCTCTCTTGTTTTCCATCAGTCAAACTCTTTTGCTTTTTGGAGAATTGTGCTCCCTGCCATATGTCTACAGAATCCAAGTCCCAATATAAGTAACAGACATATCCTTCAAAGCAGCTGTAGAAAATCACCCAGACAGTTCATATACAGAAAAATTCCCTTCCTTTCCCCCTCAAGCTGGTGTAATGTAAACACCACAAGTGAGTAAATCGGGGTATAACAAAGAGCTGGAGGATGTGTTTGGAGGGAGAAGTACGAAGTCCAAGAAGGAGCTCTGAGTGCTCCGTGCAGAGGTTTGTCCCACACTCTGAAGATCCACCAGAGTGGCTGTGGAGAGGAGCTCTGCCCTCCTGCCTGCCACGGTCCCTTCAGCGTGGCCACCATCAGCCAGAATAAAGCCCAGGAGAGCCAGTGCCAGGCTCTGTCCTGGCTCTGCCACTCACTTGGAGGAAAACCTCCTCCCTGCCTGCAGGGAGCTGGCTGGTTCAGTAATGCCAAGGGGATTGGAGAGCACTTTGCTAATTCTGGGCTAGTCTGCACGTGCAGGAATTACTGCCAGTGACCACGCTTTGGGCACCATCACCCAGGGCAGGAACAAAGCTGTCCTGATTCCCAGGAGCAGAGGTCCTGCTGCTCAGGAGAAGCCCCCCAGTCCTTCCCTGGGCTGGGTTTAAACTCCCATCTCCTTGCCTGCTCAGGAGCACAGCTGGGAAAAGCAGCAGAACCTGCAGAGCAGAGGTGACAGTGCCAGCAGAGCCACAGACAGCTGCTCTGCGAGCAAAGAGGAGCTGGCCATGGCCATGCCCTGCTCAGAGGAGCAGAGTCCCCCACAGCCTCAGGAGGATCCCCAGAACTCTGCCACACAAAACTCAGGTGCCTCTCCCGCAGCCCTTAATCAAACCATGCAGCACTTACATTGTCTTGCTTAGAAAAATCCCCCTCAGCACCTTCACCAGAGCTCGGACTCGCAAACTGTCACAGCTGAAGTTTCAAAATGTTTCCCATTCTTCCCTCTAGATCTCAGATGTTTGTAAGTCTCTGAACCGTCACCCCATCAAAAGGATCATTAGCCTGAAGAAAGCATGCAACTTACTGAAAAATGTAATTGCATAACAAGCTGTTAAAGGAAGAAATAAAAGGAATAGCCTTGTGGTTATTGACCACATCCCTCATCAAGGCTAAGCCAGATTCCCAGGATCTATTTTTCAGCTCTTTAACCTGGGAAACTCAGTTCATGGGTGTAAGGGAGGAGGAAAGGGCAAGAGCTGCTGCTCTGAAGCCTGCCTAACTTGACACTGAAAGCCTTTGGAGCACACAGATATGGAACAAACACAACCAGGCAGGGAACAGAAAGGGGAAAATTCTGAGAAGGCTCCTGAGGTGAAATCTGTGGCACTGAGCTCCAGATGTGAAGGACTATGTGGGAAATGTACAGATCCCCAAAACTCCTAAATGCCCAAATTGCCTGGACCTGATCACGTGTGTTTATAAATCCAATCTAATTCTGGATTTCCAGGAGATGCACTGCTGTAATTCAGGAGAAGCCAGAGATGCCTTGGCCCTCACAGGGGCTTGGCCAAAATCATGTCAGCCCCTCTGGGGTCATTTTCTATCTGTCACTGCCCAAAGCAGAGTCCCCAAGGCCACTGACCCTGCCCTGTCCTGCCCTAATGCACTGCCCCTCCCAAAAGCAACCCACAAGCACAACTTCCAACTGCCTGAGAATGGAGAGAATTTCAATAAAGAACCATTCAAGGGGTTATCACTTCAAAATAATGCCAACAAAGTCAGTGCCTCTTGATACACACTTGCACGTGGATTTTTTGTGGTGACCTAGAAACCTTATGGCTCATTTCACACTCCTGAGCAGAAGATCATAAGTTGGATGTCAATAAAACATTTTATTTGTAAGAAAGACTTATAAATGCAGTTGTTTAAACAGAGGGTTTGCTAGCTGGAGTGCCTGTGTAAAAGTGCTGAGCTACACAAGTGCCCCTGAGAAAAAGCATCTGGACACATCTCAGATCCTACCCTCCCTTCAGGGTAGGAATAAATCAGATAAGGACCCCAGCAAAGCTCAGTTCAAATCTGCCTCTCAACCTGAAACCCCTGCTGCCAAGCCAGAGTGTCCAGATCTCACAAAACCAGGGATGATGTCCTGGGGAGCAAAGGAGTTTCCTCCCTTTACCTCTGCCCCAAGAGCAGGAGGGTGAGCCCAGCAGTGAGCACAGAAATAGCAGCACAAATTAGAGGAGCCATTGCCAGGGGCAAGGGGAGCACCAAAGCACGGGAAAGCCACGGGGTCTGGACACAGCCTGGCAAAGCTTGTGAGAACTGGGCACAGCTCCCAGCTGCCAGGGCCCCGCCAGGGGTGCTGGGCTGCTTTAACACCTGGCACTTGGACAACCAAGACTTCGGCTCTCACAAAAAAATCAGAACAAAATTTATTTCAGATTCAAGGAGTAGGTTTGCTTGGGCCCGTTTCAGTGCCCCATTTGCCATGACAGATTTTGGTGTCTCAGCCCTGGTGGGAGCAGTGTCCAGGCAGGCTGGGCTCCCCTGGGCAGCCAGGACACACAGCCTGCACCTCTGCTGCCTCTCCCTGAGCTGCTCCTCGAGCCAAACGACCGTCACCCTCCACAAACAAAACATGGGGTCTGGTTGTGTTTATGGCTAAGCTTTTCCAGCCCTACTCACATCTTTAATTGTTTCTGGGCACAATGGTTTCAACAATTTTATGAGGAAAATATGACTCACCGACTTGCAGAATGTTTCTGCTGGTGTTTTGTGCTTCCAGTGAGTGGCCATGATTTTGTGTTGGCCCCTCCGAGAGGTCCACTGGGTGAATCCTTGCTGGAGGCAAGAGTTCATGTTTCCCTAAGGTTTGTGGTGCTCCAGCTGGGCATGGGCAGTGGGTAGGAGACACTTTCTCCTGGCTGTGTTTCTGCACAAACTGCACCAGCTCCTGCTTCCCTGGGCTCTGGTGGGCTCTGGCAGCCTGGGCAGGCTCCAGACCTCAGCAGTGGGCACCCCTGCTCAGAAATCAAATTATTGTCACCATAGAAAACAGCACAATTACTGACAGACACCAGCTGTGACAGACAGAGGCTGATTGTGGGCAGGTTTTGTGATCATGGCAATTTGCCTTCCACTGCCTGGTCAAACCTTCTCCTTACGCTTTTAGATGTTGTTATTTTTGTACATCATTTCATTTGTAAATATTGCACTCACTTTACTTGGAAAGACAAGAGAGCCACTTTATCTTCTAGTTCTGGGAACCAAGCAGAGTTTATTTCATTTTGTACTATCACAGCATAATACTGAATTCAGTGTCTGGTATCAACAGTTTATTAGAGGGGCTGGAGCCTTCCTGCTAAAATGTGGGGCTTAGATTTGAGCTATCAGGAGACTCCCCTGTGCACAGCAGAGCACACACGTTTGTTCCAGAGTTGCCACCTGGAATTTATGGGTTTTTTAGCAAAATTCACTTCATGACAGCCAAACAAAGGTGACATTGGGCTGTGCCTGTTCTGCACCATCTCTGCTGAAACCCAGCTTGGCTGCACAGAACCAAAGTCAGCAGTGATTCAGTACAGGAACATTTAGGGCCTTCAGAGACCTTCCCTGGACTTCAGGAATGAGCTGATTCCAACTAATCATCAGCTGTTTCAACAAAAAGTCAGTCAAAGCTGTGGTTTTCATTCTGCTTCCCTGAATTTGTTATAAATTCTAACAGAATAACAGCTTTGCTGCTAGAATTGCATCAGCATCAGGGTTTTAGCTGAAAGAAATACATATTGCAAGCACTTCATGGGTGAAAAGACAACCCTAGCATAAGTACACCAAAAATCTTTAGCATAAGTTAAATTCAAGACTGATTTTGCAGACTGGACTATTTGCTTAGAACACATTGATGTAATCCCAATTCTTTTTCTCCTTGCCTGTTTCAAAAGGCAGGGCCAGTGGATTTAGCTGCCACTGCTGGGTGCTGCTGAGGGGTGCTGCCACAGCAGAGAAGGATTTGTGTTTCTGATAAAGAAACAAATCAGTTTGGCAGCCTGGATGACAGCCCTGCCAAAGGCTGGGGCTGCTCCAGCCTGGCCCAGGGCAGGGTTTGTGCCTCACTGGGCAGAGCTGGCATGGGGAGCACCCAGAGCAGAGGGAGGGGGCGAGGGGCAGGGTCCTGGCTCAGCCCTGCCAGCTGTGCTGGAGGCTGCCTGGAGCACTGAGTGGCCTCTGGGCTGGATCCCCTGGGAAAAAACACCCCGAGCTCCATCCCTGCTTCCAGCATTCCTCAGGAAAACCATTGACCTCGGGAGCAATGTCTACTGCGCTGCATAAACATTCCAAATTTATCATTCAGGCCCCTTCCATTTCAAGTGGTTTTGTTAAGCTGTTTGACAAACATTCTATTTATACAGCGATGGGCAGAATGAAGAAAAATTTATC